GATTGTTGTTGGGGGCAATATGCTGACTCTGTAAACCGCTTAGAGAGGGCTGAAAGCCCTATGAAGCGGTATATAAGCCTAACTGCTAACTGCTTCCCAAATCTGCTTTTTCAAGAGGCAACTGGACACTCTTGTTTTTTCTCTTTGAAGCCGTTTCGCTTCTCATCCAAGAAGCTACTTCAGCTCTGACAGGATGACTAGCTGTCTGCAAGGAACACAAATCCTTTCATTTCCCACTATCCTGTCAGGGTTGAAGAAGCTTCTTGGATGAGAAGAGAAATGTCTCAAAGAAAAAAAACAAGAAAGTCCAATCTCCTCCTGAAAAATAAAAGCACCTTTGGGACATCTTACTAATTCTTTCTTTCTCCTCTTCCACCCCCCAAAAATACAAGCCCGAATCTTTTTTTATTTGCCTATCCATTTTTTTTTTTTTTTTAGTTTGCTTGTCTAAACATCCGAGTGTCTTTATTCCCACTGGTTTTAATTTCTGGAATTTGCTGCTGTGAAAAATGTATCTTGTTAAGATTAAACAGCTCATAATGAATGATCAAGGAAAGGTTATGGTCGAGGGCCTGGGATTCAGAGCTCTGAGGTTTTCCCCACAGAGGCGAGTGAATTACTCAGAGAAACTGGGGGGACGCCTTCTCTTTCCATTCTCCAGCCTCCCTCCCCCCACCTGGTTTTCTTTCAAAGCAACGTTTTAGTTCAAAATAAATAAATAAACAAGAAGCTGAAATGCTGTAGGGCAAAATGGTTCCCCTCCAGCAGCATCTTCATCAGCCAAAATGGCCGTGTCCCTCAAACATTCATAGCAAAGAAAATTTGCTGCATAGGTGTCAGTCAAGGAGAATATTTGTAGCTCAGATCAATGGAGATTCTCAGTCATCCAGGTCATGGTTTCCCCAAAGGTGCTTTTTTTCCCCAAGAGGCAACTGGACTTTCTGGCTCTAATCTGAAGAAGCTTCTTGGATGAGAAGCGAAACGTCTTCAAAGAAAAAGCTAAAACATGGAGGCTAAAACATATAAAGAATAGTTGCAGGAACTGGGTATGTCTAGTTGAATGAAAAGAAGGACTAGGGGTGAACATGATAGCAGCGTTCTGATATCTCAGGGGTTGAAGAGGGAGTCAAACTATACTCCAAGGCACCTGAGGGTAGAACAAGAAGCAATGGGTGGAAACTAATCAAGGAGAGAAGCAACCTAGAACTAAGAAGAAATTTCCTGACAGTTAAAACAATTAATCAGTGAGACAACTTGGCTCCACAAGTTGTGAATGCCCCAACACATTTTAAAGAAGAGGTTGGATAACGATTTGTCTGAAGTGTTGTAGGGTTTCCTGCCTAAGCAGGGAGTTGGAGTAGAAGACCTCCAAGGTACCGTCCAACTCTGTTATTCTATTAAAAAAACCAACCCAGAAAGTCCAGTTGCCTCTTGGGGGAAAAAAACCACCTTTGGAATTGGTTAATTCAGAGTTGAAATGTCCTTGGTGCTCCCTCAATTTGCTTATTTTCTTGCTGACATTTCATTACCCACATTAGGTAGCATTATCAGTGTTCGCTTTCCCATTTCTGTGCCTTCGTTTGATGCCTGTATGTGGTACCAATAAAGGAGAATTAGGGTCGAGATGTGGTGTCCCAGGCTAGCACAGATGCTGTTACCTAGTTGAGTAATAAAAAGTCAGCAAGAAAACAACCAAGCTCAGAGAGTACCAAGGACCTGGAAAAGAGACAAAGGTAATTTGACGTTGCAGAGAGCGTTCCTGAAGTTGTTGAAGGTGGCAATAAGCAACTTCACAGAATACTTTCAGGCAAATGTGTCTTTTTTGTGCGAGCCACATGCACCACATCACTATTCTGATCTAGGCTTCCCCAAAAAGCAGGAGGCAGAGTCCTGATCCCGACAAAACCCCTTTTATTAAACAAAGGTGAATTCCTCTCATTAGGTCAAGACCTATTCATTCTCACTCTCCAGTGCAGCACAGAAAATATTGGATTTCA